AATAATGAACTCCAGTTAGTTAAAATTCTGCATGGTCCAGGGAGTAAACGTGCTTTTCTGATAAGCCAGATTATCTGAGTTCATGCCCAGACCCCAGGTGGAAGGAAAGAGGGAATTGACTCCCAAAACTTGTTCACACATACACACCACCACCACCACCACCAACAGCAGCAGCAGCAACAGCAGCTACACTTGCAAAGTAATTCATCATCATACATTTCTAAGGAATGGAAAGACACTTTACTGGTAAAAACATTTCCTTGTACTTTGAGAATTTCGAGTTTCCCATTGGCATAATTCTCACGGGGAGGTGTTTATTGGCTTCCTTGGCGGTGTACAGCAAGTCCAGTCATTTTAAAGAACTTGGTGGAGATGGAAAGCATGTAAAGTAGTGATAATGAACTCTGTCTTGTATTAAAAGCAAAGGGGGAGCTGCCTAGCTAGTAGTTAGCCCTTCTGCCTCACAGACTGGTGAGAGTGCAAGTATACACCCTTTAGTGCTTTTGACAGCAAAAGGTGGCTTAGATTCTCTACCATCCTTGATGCACAAGTACAAAGTTAAAATTTCAGAGCAGATCAGAAACAAAACCAGAACTGCCATCCAGCCAGTCCCTTGCTTTGGTCCTACCTCTGTGCATTTATGTGTGCTGCTCGGTTCTCAGGTGCTCGGTAGGTGATGCATTACTTCTTCATTGTATGGAAAGAAACACATCTGAGAATTCGGTCTTCTGTGGTGATTGTTAAAAGCAGTTAGTACTAATTTAGTAACTTAACATTATGAGATTGAAGACATTTAATTTTTAGAAAACCCATGGAAGATATTTAATTTTTAGAAAAACTTTGTTGATACTAATTCATATTTTATGTGGTGTGATATATTCTAACTTTATATATTCATTTAACATCTGTTGAACACAACTTGATACTATGCTAGATTCTAAGAATACAAAGGTGAATTATTATTATTATTATTATTATTTACTTTGGGTTTTTGAGCTAGGATTTCTTTGTGTAGCCCTGGCTGTTCTAGAACTCACTCTGTAGACCAGGCTGTCCTTGAACTCGGATCTTCTGATCTCTGCCCCCTCAAAGGTGAAGTTTTAAAAATAAAGTCATTCTCTAAAGGTATTTATTATCTAGACCAAAAATTCTGTTTTGAATTATGTAAATGAGCAATTTTGATCATTTTTCTGCCAGGAGATCTTTCGTGTGTGTGTGTGTGTGTGTGTGTGTGTGTGTGTGTGTGTATGTGTGTGTGTGTGTAAGGGGCAGTCTTGGCTCAGTCAGATTAGTCTATTTGTACATTTTGGTGAAGTCACCAAAACATTTCAGAAAAGTGAAGTCATGATTTTAATTCAAAATGCAAATGAACACATGTCAGTGATTTAAACTTACTTATTTTTGAGAGATGGGCAAGCATAGCCCAGGATGCCCTCAAACTTGTCATGTAATGGAAGGTGACCTTGAACTTCTGATCCTCTTGTCTCCACCACTGGGGACAGAATCTAGGGCTTCCTCCATAGTTGGGTAAGCACTCTACCCATATATCCCAGCCTTCAGTTTTTCATTTAATGAAAGATCTAGAAAGATGTCAAAGCCATTCATATGACCATTTGGGTATTTATAGGATACTTAGTGAAGGAATATTGAAACTATTGGGTTCTATATACAGTTAGTTGATATTAAGAACATAAAAGAGTAAGTTTTAGCTATCCCTTCCCTTAGGTAGAAATTATTTGCATTTTGACTAGCCAGATTTCTATAAATTCTATAAATTCATCTCATAGACTTGTTAAATAGTCAGTAGATAGTAATCAAAAGTTTAAGTACCACACTGAAAAATGCCTAGTATAGTTTTTTTGGTTTTGCTTATTTTCAAGTTTTGAGTAATTTTTAAAAAATGAATACTGAGTGTGCACGTTTTTTGTGCATATTTAGCAAAATTACCAGTGTCAACTTGAAAATGAAAGGCTTGCTCATTTCTGCAGCAATTACACTAAAATTGAACAATACATAAAATTAGTGAATTTAATTTGATTTCATGAAAGTTGTTTTTAAAAAGTAAAAAAACAAAAAACAAAACAGTTGGTGTGGTGGTGCACTTTAATCCTATCCCTCGGAGGCAGAGGCAGGTGGATCTCTGTGAGTTTGAAGTCAGCCTGGTCTACAGCATTCTAGTTCCCCGACAACAAGAGCTACATAGTGAGATGCTGTCTCAAACAAACAAACAAATAAACAAACAGTAAACAAAGGAGGGGGAGGAGGAGGTAGTGATGGAATCAATGGTGGTGGCGGAGGGTGGCGATGATGATGATGATGATGATGGTGGTGGTGGTGGTGGCAGTGGTGGTGGTGGCGGCAGTGGTGGTGGCAGCAGCAGTGGCAGTTAGAGACATGGTTCAGCAGGTAAGAGTGCTTGCTGCTCTTGCAGATGACTTGAGTTTGATTCCCAGCACCCACATCAGGTGACTCACATCCACCTGTAACTCCAGCTCCAGGAGATCTGATGCCCTCTTCTGGCCTCCATAGGCACCTGCACTCATGTGCACATTCCCACATACAGATACACATATACCTACTTTTTTTGTTTGTTTATTTGGTTTGTTTTTAGAGACAGGGTTTCTCTGTACAGCTTTGCATCTTTCCCGGAACTCACATGGTAGCCCACGCTGGCCTCGAACTCACAGAGATCTGCCTGGTTCTGCCTCCCGAGTGCTAGGATTAAAGGCGTGTGCTACCACCACCCAGCCCTACTTTTAAAAAAAAAAAATGGAAAAAGTAAAACCCACTGGAATACAGAAATTAGCATGGCCCTTGTGCAAAGATGACAGAAATTTTGTGATGTATTCTCTTAAAAGAAAATGTAAAAGTGCTGACTTTCAAAAAACTGACATTAGTGGGAGGAGAAAACCAACTCCCACAAGGTATCCTCAGACCTCCACGGCACAAATGCCCCCACATGTATATATAATTAAATAAAAGTTTAAAAGATGGACAAAATTCCCTGTTTTCCTTAATAAAAGCATCAAGTATTCTTTTTACTGTGTAAAACACAGAGATTGAAAAAAGGACTTAGAAGAAGTAATTTTGGGAGTAGAAATGAATTTTTGTTTGCTTTTTAATTAAAAAAAAAAGTTTTTGGTGCTGAGGATTGAACCTTGTGCATGCTAAGTATGCATGCACTCTATCACTGATCAACACTCCCAGCCCTTCCTACCTTTGAAAAGAAAGCTGCACCCAGAGCATTTAAAAGCACAGAGTTATAAGCAGGGTGAAATGACTACTAATGGATAATATATGGATTGTTAACATTACTGCTAAATTATGTATCATCCCTAAAAGAGCCAGGAACTTTATAAATGCCTTTGCTACTACTCTCCAGGAACAGCGAAGCTATCATATTACTTGAGGGCAAAAAAGAACATGGTATACTTGTAAATGCAGTTTATTACCTTTGTGTTTAAATGCTCTGGTACTTTGTGCATGTGCTATTTGATTGAGATAAATCAACACTTTTTATATAAAAAAATGCCTTAAGATCATTTAATCAGGGTTTTGAGTCTATCACATTCCTTTGATTGATACCTTTTCTGTATGGTTTTCTTTATCAGGCTAGCCATGGAAAAGAAAATGTCTATTGTCTTATCATCTGTAGTTTCAAATATAGAAGGAAATAGAATTGG